GTTTGGTTGGGGTTTTTTTCCCCTTCCCTTTAAAAAAGTGATGAGACCTGCAAATAAATATGAAATTCTCTCTTTGATCTTGTTCAGCTTTTAAACTGGGTGTCATATAGCCCCACTTGTTGGTTTTGATTCTCAAATTGGTCATCTGGAAGCTGAATATTAAGAACTCTAGGAAGAGAGAGATGACATAAAAAGCAGTTTTAAAGAGAATATTCTAGACAGCTATAGTTTCTGTAGACGCTGACCCAATCGTTTTAGAAATCCGTGTCCCTCCTTCTCTGTACAACAGAGCTAATTCTATTTCTTTGCAGAGCACATTGAAAGTGCCTGTTAAAAACTCGCATTGGTAAATGCGAGCATTGCTCATTCTTAATCCTGCCTCTCCTGTCCTTTTCTTCCCTAAGAGAAAGGGGGAGTGTTTAACAATTCAACACCCTGTCTCCTGCCAGGGATAAGGACTTGATTTCTTTTATTGTTCATAGCACTTCTTGAATTAGATTAATTTCCTCATATTCCATTTATGTCTATTCAAGAGAACAATTTCTTTGACTAAAAATACATCAAGACATGATACTCATTCGCATGTAAAAAGTAGACCAAACCTCCTTTGATTTCAAAACCTGTTATTTTGGAAAATGTGCTTTGCAGTTTAGCATTTAAGATCCCTACCATCGGGTGTGCCCCACCACAAAGCACTTGCAAGTGATCCCCGCACAGCTGTACCTCTAAAGCCCGAATAGAGGTTAAAGTCAGTTCAGGTGGCGCCCACACAGATCTTAGAAGTTCAGAGATGCTGAACAAAAGACAATGGAAACATTTCCATTACACTGAGGGCTGAAGCACCTCTTAGGCTGAGATTGTAATGAGCTCACCAGATGTACCAAACCATTGAAACCAGCGAGCTTCCCTGAGCTACCATGAGTGGTACTTGCTTTCTTATAAGACAACAGGTCTATCGGTTGACACTGCAGTCGGTACTCAGTGGTTTTTCTCTGTGTTGCTTGAATAGGGGCTCTGCAGGGTCCCTAGCGATGTGGCATGGGGGGGGGTGTTGATGTGTTCTGATCTAAAGTGTAGTTCCCCCTTTGTCTAAAACAGACTTTAATAAACTAGCAAATTAAGCTCTGTATCTAACAGGACCTCAACAACAACAAAGGAAACCAGGACAATGATTAGTGAAATGAGTAGGAAGTATTTATTATGAGACACACAGAATGAACATAAGTTTAGTTCTGCATTTTTCCCAGCAGTAAAGCAAGCACATGTTAGATTATGTAATTATCGTTACATGGTAAAAGAAAGCAACAAAATTTATCTGGAAAGATAAACATTTTCTTGGCAGAAAATTCCAAGATGAACTTAATTCACAGGATCTTCTATTAGACACTAGATAACGTGACACAGAAGTAAGTATTCAGGTGGATGTTCTAGATACCAGCCCTCTATACAATAGGAAGACATAATAGGAAATATTTCGTGAAGGCTTTTCTGAAGGAGCCCTGTGTGTCTGGTTCTCTGCCTTTACAGCAGGGCTAACATAGCCAGCCTCGCAGAGAGGCACGTCGGAGTGGTCACCGGGCTGCTACAGCTTCCGGACATGTGCTGGCTTCTAGCCAGCTCTCTGTTGCCATGTCTTACTGTCTGCAGCACATTCTGGTTGCTGATAAGGAGGGATGCTCATCTGAAGGAGGCAGGGATTTAGGGAAGGAAGACCCATCCACCTCTACATAGAGCTGGCCTTTGGGAAGCTTGCAAGCAGGGCTAACCTTTCTTAGAGGTGCTTTCAGTCTGTTCACACTTTTTGATGCATATTGGGACCCCAGAGCATGAAAGAAACTATTTTTGAATCAAATATTTTTAACGGAAGGGTTGCATTTAAGTACCATGCAGGACCAGGCAGGAAAGAAGGGAAGCAGGCAACTTGTGTCACATGCACAGGTCCTCTTTTGTGTGCGGGCAGGGACTGCTGACATGGAGGCCGAAGGGCCACTTTAGCTAAGCCGCGGCTGATGTCGCCACATGCAAGCAGAGGCCCGGGATGGCCGTAACCTCAAGTTTCAGGACAGGCTAGAAACCTTGATTTTATTTGATATTTAATGAATTCGAATACAGGCTCAGAAAACATTTTTTTTTCAAGATTTTATTGGGGAATTGGGGGAGGGGAACAGTGTTGGGGAATTGGGGGAAGGGGAACAGACAAGTTGCTGTCCTTTTTGTTTTTCAGTCTAGTTGTGGAGGACGTTGCTTCACTGGCCCATGTTGGTATTATCATTGCGCTCTTCCCGGGAGAGGCAATTGCTTGCCGGCCATTGGATGGCAACTCACGGCAGCTCACAAAAGCTCACGCCCGCTGCCGGCCAGCCCCACTGCAGCCCACACCGTTGATTGAAAAAGGAAACAATTAAAGCTGCTTTCCCAGTGAGCTCATTTAACTGATCTAGTAATTAGAATGGTCCATTTTTTTCTTTTAACTGGTTATGTTTTCTTTTTCTCTACAACTACAATAATTTTCATTTTAATACAGATGGTGTTAAGTTGGTTTCTTGCAATAATTATTCAGCATGCTCACTCTGGTGCCTAATTTAGCACCACGTTTGTGGGCTAGTACCATGGACAGTTACCACAGCTGGCTAATAAAATGCCACAGCCTGAACTCTGTTTCTGGACCACCTAGTGTGTTAGCTGAGGTCGATTCTGGCCTGTATAATCAGGGCATGTGTGTGTGTGTGTGTGTGTGTGTGTGTGTGTTTCATTAAATGGTATACTCAGGTGATTGAGTTATGGGATTGTTTACATTTGCCTGGTCATTTTTTTTTTCCAACTTTGCTGAGATATAATTGACATATAATGTTATGTAAGTTTAAGGTGATGATTTTGATACACTTATATGTTGTAAAATAGTTGCCCCCATAGCATTAGCTAATACCTCCATCCAGTCACTTTGTGTGTGTGTGTGTGTGTGTGTGTGTGTGTGTGTGTGTTGAGAACATTTAAGATCTACTTGTTTAGCAACTTTCAAGTATATATGCCTGGTCATCTGTAAGTAAGGAGGAGTGACACAAATATTACTAGTATTTAGTGAATTCTTATTCTTTGCCATGCATTGTGCAGAGTCTCATATATATATATATATATATATATATATATGTCCTTGTGTAATTGTCACAAAGCTCTAGGTGTTAACGATATCATTATTATCATCACCATTCCCACTTTATAGACACGGGTCCGCTAAGGTTAAGTAACTTGCCCAAAGTCCCACAGTCAATAAGTAGAGGAGCCCACATGCAGCCAGGCAGTCCCGACTCAGAGCCGTGTTCCCTGCTGGCCCCGAAGCCAGCAGGTAACATCTTCCCCTGTTGAAAAACAGCCATTGTTTTGGATCCCACGGTCCCTTGAAAGTCAAATGACAGGAAAGAATGGAACCAAGGAGCTCTGAGGAACACGCTTGTACACCTGTCCTTCTCTCCTCTCTCCCTTCCTCCCTCCCTGTAACCACGCAGATATACATTATGAGGGCGATCTTACAGAAATGTCTGTTATGTATGGGGCTGAATCCCATAATGAGCCTGAGGCTCCCACTGAGACTCAAGCTTCATAATTTTTCATCCAAAAATAACAGATGGAAACAAACCTCCCCGGTAGTGTCTTGGCTTAAGGGAACACATGTGCCCATTTCCGTCTGGACAAAGGGAAGAGACCAACTGACAGCTTAGCTTGTAGGCAGACTGAATATTGGTTAATGTAGTAGAGCTATGGTCTTTTTTTTTTTTCAAGATTTTATTGGGGAATTGGGGGAGGGAAACAGACAGGTTGCTGTCCTTTTTTGTTCTTCAGTCTAGTTGTGGAGGACGTCGCATCACTGGCCCATGTTGGTATTATCATTGCATTCTTCCCAGGTGAGGCAGATTGGCTGCCAGCCACTGGACAGCCGCTCACGGCGGCTCTTGGCAGCTCACACTGGCTGCCGGCCACTCACGGTAGCTCATTGCAGCCTACGCCGTCGCCAGCGACTCCCGCCAGCCCAGCTCCAGGTTGAGCTGTTGTTCACCATCTTAGCTGTAGAGGGCACAGTGTCACTGGCCCTCTTGTGGGATCTGAACTGGGGCCCTGCCGCTCAGAGCTGGCGTCCCAAGCCACTCTTAACCAACGCGCCACTCGGCCAGCCCATTATGGTCTTTAATAGTTGAGTGGAGGGACATTAATACAATAGTATACTCATTTGCTTAGTAGTATCCCAGTGTTTTCGATAACTATGCATATCATTAAATTTGAGTATTTTTTTATTAGTAAAGATCTATTATCAAAGACCTAGTCTAAAACACAACTTCATTTGTTTAATTCATGGTTAAATCAATGAGAGCTATTTGACGCTATTTGGCAAAGTCTCAAAATTATCCTGTTAACTTGTTTTTAATAGCATTTGATTTATATGGGTGCTCAAACCTACAACACATGCGTATATGCATGTTTACTAATTGCAGCCCTATGCATTTAAACACAGTGTTATTGGTGGGAAATGAAGCGTAAAGCATGAAAAATGTATAATTGTTAAGGGGTTGAAATTATAGTTTTAACTCCTCCCAGAACAAGGATGTGAGGATACAGCTTTGGTTGTTTTTAATTTCAGATGATTGAGGTTCCTGGGTAGATTTGGTGATCAGTTTCTTAACCTTCCTAATTAATTATAAAACTCTTCCCTCTAAAGGACATACGTGAATTAACTTATTGGTGTGTGCCCATTAATAGTCTATGCTTTTCTTTGGAAAAGCATAGAGACAGGTAGACTCCTCAGAACAAGACTGAAGCCCTTGGGTAAACCAGTGAGAGAGCTTTGGTTGCTTTCCCAATTTCTCTAACCCGATTTTATAAATAAAATAAAGACCATAACAGCATCTAATATCCATGAGATAACTTGTTCAACATTGAATGCATTTGCACGTGTGCGTGTCATCGTTCTGTAGAGCGCATGCAATTAATGACTCTGAATTTTATTTTAGACGATCCATGGACACAAGGGACCGATCACTGCAGTGGCCTTTGCTCCTGACGGACGATACCTTGCCACCTACTCCAACACCGACAGCCACATTTCTTTCTGGCAGGTAAGCGAAGATGCAACAGGGTCTTGAAGTACACAGATGATCTGCTTTTGCTAGGAAAGTCTTCCTGTTGAACCTGCCAGCCCTCTCTCCTTTTAACAAATACCAAGCATTTATTGCTTGCTAACTATGTGCCAGATGCTAGCATGCAGGGTAGACTGAGAAAACGTTTAGCAACCTGGAAAGGGTGGGGCTCTGCTGTCACAAAACTTTCCATCTGAGGGACAGGTAAATACGCAAGTAATTACAATACAGAGGGCAACCTGAGACTAGGTTGGGGAATGGCTTCACAGAGGAAGTGACATCTGAGCTGAGACAAGACGATGCTGAGGAAGTGCAGGGAGGAGTGGGTGTTCAGGGAGAGGAAGCAGGCGTCCGGGGGTCAGCAAGGGCATGGGATGTGAGGGCCTGGCCTAAAAGGAGCTGGGCAGGGGGACGCCATGTTCAGGCTGTTAATTTACACAGAGTGTTCAGACAACTTTAACAGGGCATCGGGCACATGGAAAAGGCAGCCTATGACCCATTTATAGTGTCTCATTTTTGTTTGCATTCTGAATTTCCCACATTACACTCTTCACTCCCAAACTATCAAAACATTTTAAAAACTCCGAGTGTCATTGACTGGCAGTTCATGAGAATGCCTGTGTTTGATTCTGATTAAAATTAAATTTAACTTTGAAAAACTAATATTTTCAATAGAACTTCTTTCAACCTCAGTGATTAATCTTTATCCCATCTTCTTTTTAATAACCTTACACCTGATGATTACAAAAAAAATAAACATTACCAACTACCCCCCCCAAAAAAAGTTAATTTAAAATTTTGTTGTTACCTTTACTTTCCTAGGATACAAGTATGTTTTATGAGACTCAGTTTATTGCCTTGAAAACTAAAAAAACCCAAAAGTTTAAACAAGACTTCAATACAGTTTGATAATTTTTTTTAAATCAGTAGCTAATCAAATGTAAAACAGATAGAATAAATTGCTTAGTTAACAACATTCTATTAAAATGTGCCAACTTCCAACTCTGCCACAGATTTTTTTCTAACTCTTCATCTAATTTAGTTTTCCAGTTTATTATCTCATTATCCTTTCTTCCATGATATATCTCGAGCATCTTAATTAGCTCATATTAAACTCTCTTCCTCAGAGATCTCACCCGGTCTTCATCTTTCCCGGCGGGTAACCACAGGACTCGTATTTTATACTATTGAAATCCCACAGCACATCCATTAGATGTCCACAAACTGGGCTCTTACAACAATGATTCTTGAAGAGTTTCCCTACCAACCGTTTTTTCTACTCATGCCTACACAGTGGTCTGTTACACCAACTGTACTTTGATACAAATTTTTCCTTATTTCCTGAGCTCTTGAAATCCCAGAGGAGTGTTTACTAAAGTTCCACTCATTCAGCGTATTTTCTAAGTGCGGGTACTGGCCTCTGCCTCAGAGATACAGGTCTGTGCTTTCAGGGAGCTGGTGTTCTGTCCACGTTTTCTTCTTTGGAATAAACAAACACAAATTTGTCCAACTTCACTTCCCCAGAAAACATAATTCCATATATAAAGGAATACCTCCAAAATTAGCCAGATTTGAAGCTTTTTCCAGTATTTTCTTGCATGTCTATGTAGTAAACCTTTTCCCCCTTATCACGATGTTCAAAGTTCTGTTTGGATATGTCCGTCCCTCGCTTGAGTACTTTTCTGTTTGGATATCAAAGTTTCCTCCGCCCCACTCATTGATGGAGTGACGGTCAGCACCCTCCTTTCCCTGGACATAAGAGGGCCCGTTAGGTGACGCCTTTTTGAGGTGCCTTTCCAGCTTCCCGTTCCCTACAGGCTCTGGCCACGGTCCCTGCCGAGGGCACTGAAACCAGTGTGTCTGTATGGGGGGCACTGTGAGCAGTATCCCCTGTCCCACACACTCGCCTACTGCAGGGGCACCTCATGCTGTCTGCACGTGTGGGTGTTCTGTGGACACAGCAACTTAGCCAGCACCCAAGTCTGTCCTGCTTCAAAACCCAATGTCAGTGTTTAAAATGCAGCCCATTTCTCACTGGCTGAAATTATACCCGACTCAATCTTGACATTTAAGTGGAAGACAGAAACATTTTTTCAGCCTTATCAAGAAAATACAATAAAACCTCTGCCAGAAGTATCGTGGGTTTTTATTTGAATTAAAAAGCGTCCAGAAAGCAGTGTTGGATCTACTACTGCTCTCCCCAGATGGGCTTTGCTGATTTGTTTAGATACATATTGTTTAGTTCTAATGATGTATGATAACACTTTTATATTATTCCAGTAAATGTACTATAATATATTTTGAAAATGTAATGAAGTCTTATTAATACAGAACCTTACGAAAGCTATGAGCTATTAAAACCTTTGCTGAGAAATGAGTGTTAATGAGAAATATTGGTTGGATAATTACTCAAGTGAGACTTAGTAAAAGGTTTGCGTGCAGCATTACTTACACTGAGAATTGCATTAAAACACTTCCTGTTTTGATGAATTACATCTGTATGTGTTTCTGTGTGTTCAGAAAATAATCTTCACAGAACTGGTTTTGGGAAGCATTCTTTTGAAAGGGAAGGGAAAAGCCAAAGTTACATTTTAGTTAGTTTACATACCCAGCTATTATTAAATGATATAATTTGACAATCTTTCAGTCCCTTTGACTCTCCGATACCATCTTTCTATAATTTGAATATTTCACTTCAGTGTTTCCATTAATATTTGATCAAGGGTAGTTTAGTAATGAAATAAAACCATAATTCTCTCACCTAAATTTTACCACTATCCTCCAACAAATAAGTACCCTCTTTTAGAAACGTTAATAATAAATTAGATGGATATTGGTTTCATTTGTTTTTATTTATTCCATCATACCATAGAATACTATTCAGCCATTTAAAAAGGATAATGTAAATCTAAAGTCACTAACATAAAAAGATTGCCCTTAACATTTTGTTGAATGAAAAAAGCAGATTGTGAAACTGTCTTTTAAGATGAGCCAGTTTATGTAAAATTTGTTAAACTAGCTTCTCTTTATGTGTATATATACTTGGAGGTCTGGAAAGTATTTACCAAAATGTAAGTAATTATCTCCGGGAAGAAGAGATTTCAGGGGATTTTTGCTTTCTTTTTTATACTTCTCTTCCTTATTTAAATTTTCCATGTTGAGTATTTATCTTTGTAATCAAGAAGAAATTTAATGCTACCAAATATTACAATTCCACGTATTTTTCATTCGTTCAAGTCTCAAATTGCCCTGACCTTAGCATAGTTTATAGCCAGTCACTCGACAAGAAAACATTAATATTGAGTAACAAAATGGTTGGTTCGTTGTTTTGGTGAGAGTTCTTTGAGCTTATCAGAAAAATTAATACTCACCTTTACCACTTCATATTCATCTCTCATTTGAAGAGGTCATAGGAAAAGAATGGCCTGAGATGCAACATATTACAGCTAAATGAAGGGCTGCACCATTCCAACTGTACACAACTGTAATAGTTGTATACCTTATGGAATTTGGCATAGTCCTGTTCCGAGGCAGGAAAGCTGTTTGACCCTACCAAAGGCGTTTATCAATTGACATATCAATCGTTTGAGGGATGGCTCAGCTTGTAAGGGGCACCGAGATATAATAATGGACTTTTAAAAAAAAAACTTTTCATCTATAGCATCCCAATAAGATATTCTCTCCCTGTCCCCCTTTAGCCCTCCACCCATTGCTTGTACGTGGCTAAATTTGAAGAGAAGAATTAAAAATAAGGAAATGTCTGAACATATTGGATACCCTTAGCATTTTAAGCCACCAGCAGAAATCAAGTTTCATACATATTTTCATAGAAAATCCATAAAGAATGAAAAATACTTTCTGGTTATTTATCAACTGAGAAATTAGATTTTTTTTAAAGGAACACTATGCCTGTTGATGCCAGTTAATTTTAACCAGCAATTTTCTGGTTCATTTGGGTATGGTCTATAAGAGGACTAAATTATTATGTACTGTTGCTTTTTGTACAAGTGAGAACTATCAAATCAAGCTCACCATCATTATTGATATTTAAACTATTTGGGAACCGCCAGAAAGCAATAAGGCATTGATTTTTCTCTTTTATGGAGTTTTTTGGAAAAGAAGGGAAGGAAAGGAGAAAAGGGAAAGGGAAGAAAGCAAGGGAAGAGGCTTTTGGAGGATGACAATAAGGAAACGCCCAGCTTTCAGTGTTAACTGAACAGCAACAGAAAGAGTTAATGATAACCATACATTTGGTTTTAAAATGTGACCTCGTACACTAGTGATTTTTTTCACCTCTGTGTTGTGTTCGGCACTATTATTAATGCAGTAAAATCAGTAACATTAGTCATCTTAAAAGGGTTATTACTCAAGATGATTTAAATTGTGAAAATGTCAGTGGAGCCTGCACGCATCCTGCTAGAGATGCCATGATTTACGCCCTCTGACACCATCCTGCTGCTGAGAAGGGCCAGAAAAAGGAATGGCTTATATTTTGCACTGATCCAAATGCAGAGCATGATATCAGCAATAACCCATCTTAAATGTCTGAGGATTTGCCAAGGTTTCATGTGTCAACCATTTATGTACATTGGATCATAATCTGCATGCTTCGACACAAATCCCCGGAATCTTGCACATTTAGCTGGAGGTTTTACTGCAGGAAAGAATTGGAAACAAAAATTAGTGCAAAGAAAAATACCACTTCTGAGGCCTCTTTCCTGATTTTCAGTATGCCCTCCAGGCGATTTGTAATACCGCAAAAGACATATATTGCAAAAATGTTAAGTAATATTTAGAGTCTGAAGGATTCGTCAGACTCAGTCACTCAGACACTGGTTCACAGAGATAACAGCCACTCAATATTTAGCGTTTTGACCTGAATGCACAGTTGCTCATAAGCCATAATTGCCATGTTATTTTCCACTTATGCAAATGGTTAAAAGAACTTAAATTTTAAATGAAATCCAGAAAAGCCACCACAAAGCAGAAATCACCAACTAATAAAAATGTATTGCCAATAAAGTGTTCAAGTATATCCCCCTTAGCATGGCAGCAAAACAGTGAGCCACAGACACCATTTTGAGTTGTGGTCAATTCTTGTTTTTCTCATCAAAGCAAACTAGAGCTTTCCAGAGACTCAATTTTTTAAAAAGCAGGAGAAGAGGGGATATGGAGATGAGGGCTAAATTTTGAGCTCTGCTCCAGTAAGTCCCGCTCTGTCCCAAGCTTGCCTTTGTGGACTCACCCTTCAGGGGATGCACTGTTTGTTGAAGCACAGAAAGGTCTGCAGTTTGAAATACCCGTGATTTCCAAATACTGTCTGATTGAACCATTCTATCCCATGAGCAGTTTAGCTCCCTTCTTAAAGATTGGACTTTTCCTGCTGCCAAGGTCTACCCACAAAGTAAACTTGCTCTGGACGTATGCGTTTCAAATACCCTGAAAGAAATCCCTTCAAGGTTAAGAATAAACTCTTAGATGAACGTGAACAAGCGTGGTAGAGGAGAAGTGAGCGGCAGTGTGTGTCACTTGAACCACTGTGTGGGAGGGAAAGGGAAGCGAGTCTTGACGTGACGCGTGTGCTCTCCTGTCCCTGTGTCCCACAGATGAACACGTCCCTGCTCGGGAGCATCGGCATGCTGAACTCGGCGCCTCAGCTGCGCTGTATCAAAACCTACCAGGTGCCCCCGGTGCAGCCCGCCTCGCCCGGCTCTCACAACGCCCTGCGCCTGGCCCGGCTCATCTGGACGTCCAACCGCAACGTCATCCTGATGGCCCACGACGGGAAGGAACACCGCTTCATGGTCTGATGCTGGCGTCTGCCGCCGTGCCTGCAGCTCAGGGCTTCCGTTCTCTAGGCAGACATCCCTCCCTCCTTCTGTATGCTGGGTCCTTCCTCAGTGCCTGCCCACACCAGTGTCACCCAGGGCACAGCCAGGTCTGTGTCACCCCTGCATGGTTCTGGGGGCAGACTCCCGCTCGTGCCACCTTCTGATTCAGAGGCATGCACACATCGCTCTGCAGGCTGTGGTGGCCCTCCTGTCACTAGGTCGTTTTTTCCCTGCCGCAGAGGGAGGGGAAGACGGCGGTCCCTGGGAACGCTCCTGTTGCTGGGTGCGCCAGAAGCCCGAAAATCAATAAACACTGTGATTGCACCCCCCAGCCCAGATCGGCCTTTTCCTCAAGCTAAACCCCATCTCTGAAGCACTGCTTGAGCCTGGTCATTTTGACAATTGGGTGTTGAGGTAATGTGCAGTCCTAATTGTTGAAATTATTTTTCTTTGGATTTCCTAAGACATGCTACTGTTTACCAAAAAGATTCTGTGTTTACATGGGTTTTTTTTTTCCTTCTGCCGATTGTTTAGGAAATCACTCAATCCAATTTCCTAGGGTTTCGCTACTAGCTTCTTTATTATCACCTAACCAAAAGGAGATGAACGAGAAAATATACAAAAAAAAAAATGTTTCGTTCCTCATGGAAAACACCGTTTCCCCAGACACCTGGCCTCCTAAAGTGCTCATATCCTGCTTAAGTGATAGTGTGTTTAGTAGCCTAAAATAAAAATCACCACTACTAATGATGTAGTTAATATGATTATCCCGCCGCTATAACTAATCTCTTAAATGGAGTTTTGTAATAAAGAACCAAGTTTGGAAGCATAACCTAGACCTACAAAGAGGACAGACACTATGTCTAGTGCTCCAGATCTTTTAAAGAAAGAGCTTACCCCATTCCTTCCAGAAACGTTACAGACCTGCAGTCCCCATGCATCTGACCTAATGTCATTTATCATGGAATAGTTACAATTCAGCCTTCAAACTACTACTAATTCATTAAAGAAAAACTAAGACAGCGCTTCTTTCAAACAAGCATCCTAGGAAATTAAGCATTCAGGAGTATATATATAAAAATGTGAGCGCTCCATCAGTCTGAGCAAACACTGAAATGAGAATGTTCATGACACTTGGAAGCTGGCTTTAACTTGGCTGCTTTCTTCTCGTGTCAAATTCTGCTGATTCTTGCTCATAGTAATGGGGGGAAAATCCATAAAATAATATTTTGTATGAATTGCTCCTTGCAAACCTTGATCTATAGATTGTTGGGGAGTTGGTTGGCTGGCTGGTTGTAGATGGGTTGGTTAGTTGGATAAAATGGTTTATTAATGCAAAAGCAGAAAATGATTTATGAAATTCAGAGAAAATATGTGACATTTACAGAGGAACCAAAATGATAATGGGAGCCTTTAATTTAAAAAACATAGATGTCAGAGTTTATGTAATATACAAAAGAGTAGGATCACAGTCTGGGAACAAATACACCTGTTATTCTATTGACACAGATTTTTGAAGAGTGTGTTAAGAAATTAAGACCACTAGCACGTCTTTCATGTTGATATGAAGTATGTTATTTCTATTGATGGCAAACCTTCATTATTCCTTGGTTGTAGACTTTGAGTGTTCTTTCAAAAGTGAATTTCTGCCACATGCATGTACATTGTATTTATAAAGATTATATATGTAGTTTCCAGGAAGAAACAAAGAACTACACAGTGTAGACTTTATTTGTTTGATGAACATACTATTGTGTTCGATGTAGATAGAGGAACCTGAGGTAAACAAAAGGTGCACTTGGTTTTTCCAGGGGGCTCCTGAGTCATCTCCATAACCCAGCGGTGTTTACTTTATGAACTTAAATGGGGATTAATTTATTCTAGACTGCACAGCTGTTTGGGAATGATGAGGTAGAAGTATACCTTAGGGATTTTTTTTAAAACAACATGTTCAGTGCATCTGGAGAAAGATGTGAGACCGGTAGGCAGGCCACCACCACACCTGCACGGATGGATGGCATGCACCGTGGAGAGTTAGAGCAAAGCAGCGAGGGCCTAGGCAACTGGCATAGGCCAGCCTGTTACGCAGCGTCTGCACAGACAGCCGAAATTATTGGCCAGTAGACTATTACAACTATAAAACTCTGGGGGTAGATGATACTTGATGGTTAGACAGATAGCTCTAACTGTTCAACTATAATAATATTTGCATTCTTGTTAACAAATCTTTCCTTGGTTATTTTGACAACCACAGTCCTAACGTCATCACATCCCTGATGGTAAACTTTGTATTGTCATCCCATGTACGCCTTTAGTGTTTTATTCATTTTCTTGGCACTGTTTTTGGACTTGTCCTTGTAAATGTAGAGACATATGTGGCTTCATTGATAACTTACAAGCAAAATATGACGTGACGTGACGTGACACCTGTATGAAAATGTAATGATTGAACTCACTGTGCACAGGAAGTGAATTAAAATGTCTGCCTCTCGAGACATTTCTTGATAATTCCACTTAATAGACTCTATATGTGCTGAATGTTCCTCTGTACATATGTGTGTGAAATAAAACTGAATTGTACTGAAGATTGTTTTTCCCATTAAAAACGTTGCCCACTCTTATTCTCAATTGAAATCCATATGCTCCCCCTCCCCCGCTTTGGTACCAAATTAAGCCTTCTGTTTCCATCTAATTATTCATTTCCCTGGAGCGCTAGCTTCAGGAAAGGCAAACTTGTTCACAAAGGACAGTAGGACAGTAAAGAAGGAAGTCCCTCTCCTATACTGCCAAAGTGAGAAAGCCAGAAAAACACTCCTACCAGAAACTCAACAGCGCCCCCTGTGGTTTGGGCAACGGAATTGCATACATGTTTTATCACTGTCCTAAGTTGTTACCAAGTAGACTGTTGTTAATTGTACCAAATTATATCTTGTCTGATTTGATGACATGAGTTGGCTGCCCCGGGATGGGAGGCTGGGCTGAGATCATTAAATTCATTTTATTTAATACTCAGTTTGGAGTTGAATTTGAATCCCTGAGGTAAAGGGCGTAATTGGTTTTTAGAAAAAGCACGAGTAACAAAATAGGTCATCATGGCTCACAGAGGGGTTATATGCATGAGTAGTGAATGTACTTCTTTAATTTTCAGATAAGACTAGAACATCTTGAGTCAATCATCGTGTAACAGTATAATTTTCTTTAAGAAATAGGTAAACATTAAAGGAGTTGACGGCAGCATCTTTGGCCCTATCTATTTAAACACCCAGTGTCCGTCCCAGAAATTGTGTTAACATCTCCTGATGACTTAAACGTATCCTTGGAGGGAAAACAGGGCAGTACCAGCTCTGTATGATTGGTGATCACATAAACTGATCAAATGTGGAAAGGGCATGACATTAATAGGAAGGCAGAGCCAAGCAGTGCTGGGTGAACTTTCACCTTTCACCCCTTCGGCTGACTGACAGAGCTGAGTGTGGAAGAAAATCAATACTTCGGAGCCAGGAGGGAAATATTTCCAACCTCTAACTAGAGAATGTATTTTGACAAGGCCAAGATAATCCAGGCTGCACAGGAGAAAGAGAAAAGAAGACTCATTTTTAAAAGCTTGACACTTCAAGGTGTTTTTGTACAATGGTTTCGAGATCGTCAATACATACAAATACCAAAGGTCAAAAAGAAAAGCCAGAAGAATTTCAAAAATTAGATGTTCAGTTCTTTCTGCTGTTTACAAAAAAAAAAAAAAACAAAAACCACAGAGAGGCTTGAGCTTATAATTGTCGTTTAAAGGAGCCGAGCCCACGAATGCGTGCTTTCCGGTTGTCATGCCCTCTTAAATCAAACCGGAAATTTTATGGAGGCAGCGCTATGTATAGGGAATGCCTAAAAAAGCGGTGGGATTTCTTGTGTTTGTTTTTTCTTGGTTCCTTTATTTTGTGCTAACATCTCAGAATCTTGGTTTTATGATTCGTTCTGATCCTGCTGTGATGGCAGACGCCCCTCACATTTGCCTAAGAAAGGAGTTCCTGTACCTTTGGAACCTGAATTGTTTCTAGTTTCCCAAGTCCTTTTAAGCAAATTATTTATGAAAGTATTCTAATTAGGGTTCTTCTGGAGTGAAAGGCTTATGCACCTCTAGGAAATAGATAAGCGATTCACTGCACTCTTACCAGCTAGATTAGATCCATTCATTCTGTCGACAGTTACCTCCATCAGAAGGATACAGATTCCTTTCTTTTCTACAGATAAGAAAGCAGTCAGAAGGTGCCCATACTTTCTGGCCAAGCACAGGAGGACAAAGGAACCCTGAGTACGCCAAGGATCTAAGATAACCCTCTGTCTTCTCATGGGCACGCATCATCAGGCTGGCCATAGACACATGCTAATTACATGATTAAAATAACAGCGAAAATATAGCCTTAATTTACCCGCTTTCTCATTAATATATTCCATTCTACTGTATTCTGAAAAGATAGATCTGGCTTGAGTGTTTTAGTTTTATCGCAAAAGGAGAACACAGCCAGCCAAAACTCCTCAATATTCTACGATTTCCCAGAGAAGACAGGAATCTAGCACATGCCTGATGTGTAGGTATCAAGTCATTGTTGAATCCATGAATCCAGGAGATTATGCCTGTAAAATTCTTGCAAGAGCAGTACTTTTGTAAGCAGTCAAGAAGTGGGAGCTAGTATTTTTAGTAGACATTTACACGTCCTCATTGGGTGTAGATAAACAAGATTGTAAATTACTTCTGTTCTTTGGAAAACTGTTGGATTTTTGCATTGTTGTGTTTTGATCTCTACTTAAACTCTAATAATGGGTCTACACATCTTACCCAATGGGGAGTCTCTGGTTCTACCGATATTCCCCAGGCTCTTCACCATGTTGCTATGTGTTGCTATCTTTTCACCAAAATTTATAGACACTGAGAAGATTCCAAAATAGATGGCAGTGGATGGGACTGGTTGATTATGGCTGTTGAATTTATGACTGATAGCTCAAGAAGATAGTTCACCACATTAAATCTAGGGTGTATGTTAGCATCAGGGACGCCTTTGACTTATTTGTATGAGTATCTTTCAAATATACAACTGTCAAGATTGAGCAGACCTTGGACAGAGTATTATAGAGTAGGTTTCATGGAACCACCAATGCAAAGGAAACTATGTGTAGGTCCTGTTGCCAATATCTTCTTGTTTTGACTAGTGTCAAAATGACTTGACACTTTGATTTGCCCAAATGTGAAATGTATTGTCTAAAACTTGCCCCATCCAGAGGATCTATAAGTTTTCATGAAAATGTATGAAAAAAATTTAAAGATGCGACAATGTAACACTTTTTTAAATTTTGTCTACAAGCATTTATTGAATCTCAGCATATGCCAAGCATATGTTCTATTTTCTTCCTGCTAATGAGGTCACAATCTAGCAAAGGACTGTAACCCTCTGGAATAAGTATTCAAAACCGAGATGAGCAAAGAGAACATATGGAGTGATTAATTATGATAGGATCGTGTCAAGTTAGGCTTCACAGAAAGGAAGCGTTTTGTCTGGGCCTTGAAGGATAAATAGAAATTAATTAGGTGGATGGAGGAGATGTTTTAAAATAGGAATTTATGGGAGTCGAACTGATGATGTAATCTGAATGGAAATAAACTACTTCAGACCTACAACCTGAGGGGCATTCCTGACAACCCAGGTAGCTCTTCACGGCAGCAACAGAAAACAGGACTCCTGGGGTGAAGTGAAGGCAAACCGCCCCCCCTCAAAAAAAAAGATTGAGCAAAACCCTAACAAAACTTTTCTCTGACTTTTCCTAGTTTTCCAGATTTCAATTCCTTTTTTTAAGAAGGTAATTTTTGCTTGAAAAACCAGTTATGCACCCTCCATGTCCTGTATTATAGTGCGTAGACAGCACGGTGTGTTGGACGCCTGCCATGAGCTCTGCTCAGATTTCCACTCCCCTAGCCCCTCCCCAGGGCTGAAGCATTTATTCCTCTGGCCATTGGAAGGATTGGTGTCTCCTAGCTCTGCGGAGTCCTTCCCTGGAGGTTGCTTCACAGCCAGAGAGCTGTCTAACCCACGGACATGCTCCCTCTCCTCAGGGAGGAGGTATAAAGGCCCAGCCCCAGAGCCATTTCAGATCAACTTTGGTGCATCCCAGCTCCAAACTCCCCTTGGGATTGACGAAGCCTTCACTGAACCGCATCACAGCTCAGCTTCTCCCTGTGCTCGGTCCTACTCCCTTCACTTTCCTACGGTGCTGATGCTGAGGACACTTTTCCGTAAACTTCCTGAATGCAGACTTCTGTCTCATAGGCCGCGTCCCCCAGAACCCAGACGATGGCACTTGGTACTAGGAGTGGTCCATGAAAACAGGATCTAAAATGAGATTCGGGAGCCGGGCCACCCACTGAGCTCCTGGCATTGAGGATCCTACCACTGGCGGTAGGTGATCTTGGGTAGCCTCTGGCATGCTGGGGCCAGGCAATTGGTAACTTTCCCTGATGCTAAACATTTGATGATGAACTTAGGATGGCATCCTGATGGAAGAGGATGCGCTGGAGGGTGCAACACGGCAGGTGTTTGAGAAGTAAGGGTAGATGGAGATTATAAGGACAATGGATTTGGATGGCTGTTGCTGGCCTCACTGGAAAAAGACAAAGAAAAGCTGAAGTGATTAATCACTAATTAAAGGCTAAATGTGAAAGCCAGAGCGAGTCCTTGGCGGCGTGTTAAGGAGAGCCTCGTCTCCTGCAGCCAAATATTAGCCAAGAGGATCAGGCCCCGGGCTTGTTTTGTGAAAAGAGCTCCAGGGGAGGCTGCAGTCTTAGCTCCAAAGGTCCCCCGAGACCAGGTACCGGGTGGTTGGCCGTTGAGTCTTCTTCAGGAATTGCCTGGGCTGAAAAGAGGCACTTTTCTCAAGGCCCCACCTTTGTCCTGAAGGCAGCTGCATCCAATGGCTGGTCAAGGGGGTACAGACTCAACCCACCTGACCTTCATTTGGGACATCTCTGCAGGTCCACCCCAACTTCTCCCTCGGCCCATTTTCTCTTCCCTCATGTAGGTGTTGACCCCAGGAACCCTTCTCAGTACACCTCCTTCCAGCAAATCTCAGTCTCAGAGGCTCTGTCCCAGAAAATGAACGCACCTGGGTTCAAATCTCACTCTGCCACTTATTAGCTAAATAACTCCTTGAGCCCCCATTACTTAAATCTCCTTGTGCCCCAGTTTACTCATCTGTGAAGTGGAATTAGTGATCATACGCACCTCATCGTCCTGTTATAAAAATTAAAATGGAAAGCATATATGTAGAGAACTTAAAATGGTATCTGTCACATAGTGACAAATATTCAATAAATCCTAACTCTTATTATCATTGTAAGGTATAAATATGAGATTCTTCAGGTCTTCTACTTCATTTCCTGCTGCTGTGTCACAGGCAAATATGCTTTTTCATTAATTCTTTTTCTGTGTTTTATTCCTTTCTTCAACCCAGATTAAAGGGCTCCCTTTTAAAAAGTGAGGCAGAAAGTAGAAGGGAACTGACATTTCTGAGTACTTCTTTTGTGCCAGACGCTATACTAGCT